TTGTACGCCGTTGCCGCCTCATGGCTACCACCACCATCGCTACCGCCGACCGCGGAAAGCTCGGACCACAACCACAGCAACGACGATGATGAGCGAACAGGCACAAGTCCCGCCGCCTTCCCCGGCCAGCCAGGAGCAACGGCGACAGTGGAACCCACGCCAGGTGCCGCGATGCGAGAGCTCCGACAACCCGACGGGTCTTCTTCGCCATTGCGGGCAGCACCACCAGCACCAGTACAACCACAACCAGCCGCAGCATCACCAGCAGTCGGACCACAGCAAGAGTGGTCTCGACGCTTCGGCCCTTCCAGACCGGAGCCGCGGCTGCTGGACGAAGGCAACGGCGACCGAGATAGCCGGCGGTCACCGACGGCTTTTAGCGGAGAGCAACAGCAGCAGCAGCAGCAGCAGCAGCAGCCCCCTCCGGAGGATGCTTTTTCTGGAAAAGGACGCCGAGATGAAGCAGGAGACAGGAGAAGCGGCAGCGGCGGCGGCGGTAGCGGCGACGGGAAGATCATGAGCACCAACAGCGGGAATGAGGCGTCTCTAGCAATCCTCCGCGCGGCGAAGGCGAACGTCGAGCTCCGGGAGCGCGCGGAGCGCGCGGAGAGGATGCTCGCGACGACGAGGACGCGCCTATGCAGGGCGCTCGGGGAAGGCGGCGGCGGTGCCACGGCCGCGACAAGCGACCAGAGCCTCAGCAGCGGCAGCAGCGTTGGCAGCGTTAGCGTTGGCAGCGTTAGCCTTAGCAGCGCTAGCGGCTGCAGCGCTGGCAGCAGCAGCGCTAGCAGCAAAGCTAGCAGCAGCGGTGGCGGTAACGATTGTAGCGTCCTTGGCGCGAGGAAGCGCGGGGATGACTCCGGCTGGAGGGGCGGCGGGCGTCCTCGCGGCCGGGGGCGGACGCAAGAGGCCAGGAAAGAGAGGGCGCCGGAGTGGCGGCAGCGAACTTCACCGCCCCCAAGGAGCAACGCGCCCGCGTCTTCCTCGGACACGTGGGGGGGAGAGAGTCACTACCACAGCGACGATACCGGGGATCGGCGGCAGCGGGTTCGGGACGAGGAGGCGCAGCCGCCGGAGGTGGCCGGAAGACAGCAGGGCGATCGGCAGCGGCGGCGACGGAGGAGGCGTTCTTTGAGCGCGTCGGGAACCTCCAGCAGGGTCAAGTGGCACGGGACACAGGAGGAGGAAGGAAGAGGAGTTGGCTTTGGAACGAGGCGGTCGCGAGTACGGCGGCAACAGCAGCAGAAGCAGCTGCGCGCGAGCGACGTGGCGCGAATGCGACAGGTGGTTGAGCGGCTGAGGGTCGTCACCTACGAGCTAGAGGCGGAACGTGCTGGCCGGGCGGATTCACCGGCTAGGGCAGGAGAAGGGGCGGAAACCTCGCTGCCTCCTCCTGCTACGCACAACAGCGGCGCCGTTCATGAACGTGGTGGCACCCAGCAGCCGCCCCCGACGATGTCGCCAAACGTAGCGAGTCGAGGTGGAGGAATACCGGTGGCGGCGGCGGCGGTGGCGGAGAGGGAGCAGGAGGCTGCCGCCCTTGTGCGAGAAAACGCGAAACTTCGACGGAGACTGTTCGGGCTGGTGATGTTGGAGGAGCTCGAGGGGAGAGCCGTGAGGGAAGGCTTGCTGCCGTTGGCGGGAGGCGGAGGGGTCGCCGAGGACATGTTTCCGTCCGATAAATAGCTGACTTCTCGTAAGGGCTGGAGTCAACGCGATGCAAAGACATTCATGTTTGGAAACGTTTGGCATGACACGCGGAGTGACACTGAAGCTTGTTTTGAGTCCTGCGCACTGGTGGTCACGTGAAGGGGGGCACGTGTGTAGGTGGTAGACTGCATTGATTGCTTCCTTTCGCCCTTGGGAGAGGATGCGCGAGCGCCCGAGTAGCAAGTGCAGTTTTTTTGCCCTTCCTGATGATCGCACATCTAGCGGTGTCGACGGACACCTCCCCCCCCAGGGCCGAACCCTGCACACTGTATTCTAGACTCCATTCCACAATGAGGTCACTCATGAGATTATTACGTTGTAAACGCTTGGCAAATTTGCTTTGGTCCAATAATTGTGAACAAGCGCACCACCGGAGGCGGCACCCAAAACCCCAAACACCCTAGCGTACAATAACGACATAGAGTATGTGTGTTGTTGGTCGTATCTAAACCGTCCTGAGCTCTACTCAGAAATATCCTAGTGCTTGTCCAATTGACACGGCGGGCTACAGAACGACCCCCGTGGAATACCATCGCTTGCATATTTTCCTGGCACGCCCTCTGGCTGGTTTGTGGTTTGTAATGATCGCATCCGGATCTGTGGGAAGGGCGGTGTAACTGCTGTCGGGTAGGATGTAGCATGAGATACCAACGTCCCGTCGTATAACATGTGTGACACAAGATACTACACCCAACCAATTTTTCAGCGCTCGAATACTCCACATGCAGAGGGGGTGGCGGTGCCGAACATAGTGGCGTTGGAGTCGTCCTATCGACAGCTTCCCGAAAACGTTATGATTTGACTGTTTCATCCTCTTCGTCGTGGAGTAATCGAGTAGGATAAAAAAAACGGTCGAAAACGGTCGCGATATCTTTCGCGTCACCTGTGAAAACGTTTTATCTGAGGCTGCTGCTGCTGCTACTGCCCCGTAATTTGTCAGCCACTACACAACTAAAACCATGCCTGTTCGTTTTTTGCATGCATTGTGCATTCCACGGGAATATCAACAACCAAGGGGTTACACCTCGCAGCCTACTAAGGGCCAGGTCATGGGTTTGAGTCCCGGCAGAGTGAGTTTTTTCTCCTGGTCTAGGATGAAAGCGACGCGCTGCAAAGCTCGACGTCGTAAACCATAATAATCGACTTCGTAAGTCGAGAAGGAAGGGATTGCTGTACCCTTCTCGCGACAAAAATATCTCAGGCAGGAACCGCAGGAGGGGGTCCAACCCCCCCCTCCTGTGTGACCCCGGTTGGGTCGTCTAGCTAGTAGAAGTGGAGGAAAGGGGCCAGAGGGGCAGACGACAGAGTCCAACGATGGGAGAAAAAAAAAAAACTAGTAGCCTTGATGGTGTGTCTGTCGTACGTTGTACATGCTGTACAGCTGTGTTTTTGTGATTTGCACCTGCTGGCACCACTGATAAAAATAGTTTGGTGAGCCCGCATCAGCCGGTTTCCCTCCATTGATTGCAAAGACTCCAACACATCCCTTTCGACTGTGGTTGTATCTCGAAGGGGTAGTCTTGCTGTGTTCGTATTTATATTGCTCAATCTCAAGGTTTAACGGGCAGCTGTTATTATTTTATTTTATTTTAATATCACACAACAAATCCATCTTTATCTATAGAAATAATTAAGGAGAAACAAATACACGCACAGAAAGACTACCCATTCGAGATTACCCACAGTCGAACGGGATGTGGTGGAGTCTTTTCAGTAAGTGGAGGAAAACCGGCTGGGTACTGGACTTATTTCGAGTCTTTATAGTCTAAGTCTATACACTCTCCCTTCTTCCCCTCGCTCCTCGACAAGCTTTTGCTTAGACATGGGTTGTAGTGAAGGGGGGGGTCTTTCTGGCGAGCAGGGCTAGACTCAC